GAATTAATGGCTATCATGAATCACCTCTCATGTCTGCTCTCCGCGTTCCCGCTCAATTACTCCGCGCGGCGTACACTCCCGGCACTGCCGCTCTGCAAACACAGCTCTCTGTACCTCTATACAGCCTACAAACACGATCCTCTGCACCGCTCTGGAAACATAGCTCTTTGTACCTCTGTACAGCCTAAACACGGTCCTATCTACGGTTTTAGAAACGTGTCCTTTTGTCTTACTGTAGAAAGACGGTTCTATCTGCGGTTGTAGAAACATGTCTCTTTGTATTACTGCAGAAACACGGTCCTCTCTACGGTTGTAGAAATGTGTCCCTTTGTGTTGCTGCAGAAACACGGTTCTATCTACGGTTGTAGGAACACGTCCCTTTGTGTTGCTGTAGAAACACGGTTCTATCTACGGTTGTAGAAACACGTCCCTTTGTATTACTGCAGAAACACGGTTCTATCTACGGTTCTAGAAACACGTCTCTTTGTATTACTGCAGAAACACGGTTCTATCTACGGTTGTAGAAACATGTCTCTTTGTGTTACTGTAGAAACACGGTTCTATCTACGGTTATAGAAACACGTCTCTTTGTATTACTGCAGAAACACGGTTCTATCTACGGTTCTAGAAACACGTCTCTTTGTATTACTGCAGAAACACGGTTCTATCTACGGTTCTAGAAACACGTCTCTTTGTATTACTGCAGAAACACGGTTCTATCTACGGTTCTAGAAACACGTCTCTTTGTATTACTGCAGAAACACGGTTCTATCTACGGTTCTAGAAACACGTCTCTTTGTATTACTGCAGAAACACGGTTCTATCTACGGTTCTAGAAACACGTCTCTTTGTATTACTGCAGAAACACGGTTCTATCTACGGTTCTAGAAACACGTCTCTTTGTATTACTGCAGAAACACGGTTCTATCTACGGTTCTAGAAACACGTCTCTTTGTATTACTGCAGAAACACGGTTCTATCTACGGTTCTAGAAACACGTCTCTTTGTATTACTGCAGAAACACGGTTCTATCTACGGTTGTAGAAACATGTCTCTTTGTGTTACTGTAGAAACACGATCCTCTATGGCTGTAGAAACGTGTCCCTTTGTGTTACTGTAGAAACACGATCCTCTACGGCTGTAGAAGCAAGGCCCTCCGTTCCGAACAGGCTGAGGACCGGTCTGGGCTGCCACTGCGCAGAACCGTAAACGTAAACAGGAGGGACGACGTGGAGTCAGAGTTCCGGGTCTTATCGGCAAGTGACGCGGTTAAAATGACGAGGCTGCTTCAACCCGAAACTGAATTCAGAATCATGTTTTTGCGTTTGTAACTAGTCTCAAAAAGACACGTAATTAGATCTAGCTGTAAAAAATCCTCAGCAGTCTTAATTTAAAATGGACGAGTGGAAATTCGGCAGAAGGAAAAGGAGGAAAGTAATAAAAATAGAGAGGAAAAATCGTAAAATAAGTTAAAAGTCTCCCGGTGAACTTTTCATAAAAAGTTTCAGTGAAATTCTTAGCAACAGACAAATTGGATTCCGCAGAAAGGAACGTTTGTGCCATTTCTTTGACGGGAAGATAATTTGTAAAAATTACATTTCTCCATTTCCCAACTTCCGTAATTTGTCAAAAGAAGCTGAAAGGCGGGAGAGGAAGGCTGGGATAATTTATTTACGAGATATATCCGTAACTAGGAACTGAATGCCATTATAATTTTGACTGCGCGCCATATTTTGTAGCTCAATCCACTTACAAGTCAGCGTCGGCACTGCAGAGCTCTGCATTTTGTGTCCACGTGTTGCATAATGGTTCCCCTTAATCTAAAAGTCTGGCTTCAGACCCCAAAAGAAAACACGGAGGTATATCATTTTGTTAATTTATTTATATTACGTTATAGTCTTCTGGGTATTGACGCCGTGGAGATGGATGCCAACGTTTCGCAAGTGCATTGAAGTGGAGAAATTCACTTCTACCTTGAAGATGGATGCATCTTGTTCCTTCTTAACGGGTATCTGTCGCCAAGGCTACACAGTGTAACTGCTCAAAAGATCACAACCAGAACGCTCACCGCTGTGATAACTTGTACACTTAACCCATAGGTCTATTTGATATTACGATTGGTCACTCGTTGGTTAAAATATTATTTATTTATTTTATTGATTATTTATGGTTTGTTTAATGGCGATATGAGTACATCAGGCTTATAGAGTCAAATGGCAGGAAGGTATTAAATTCGCTTAGTAGGGGGTGGAGTCCAACTGGGTCCACTCGGCACGGCGGCCACTGATCGGCCTATTGTAGCCTGCCCCGGGTGGTTATGATGATGGAAATTTTGGTGGAATGAAGATTGGCAGGGGAAACCGAAGTACTTGGAGAAAACCCGCCCCAGCGCCACTTTTTCCACCGCAAATCCCACTTTACTAGACCAGGGATCGAACCCGGGCAGCCGCGGTGGGAAGCCAGCGATTAACCGCTTGAGCTATGGCGCGGTCTGGCAGGAAGATAAATGGGCAGTGAATTCAAATGGGCGCGCAAGGAGAGGGTTTCGGCCTAACCAAGCTGCTGTCTCGTTATTTCCTGGAGTGACTGAGGAAAATAGACTGCAGAACATGTGTGGGAATAACATTTACTACTTTATGAAACCATATGGAGTAGACAGACCGACATGAACGGAGGATGTGAAATGAATCGCACCTCATGTTTCCTGCGGTTTTCCTCAGTCTCTTGAGGCAAATGCCGCTATAGCGCCTCACATTAGACCACGACCGCTTTCTTCCAAATCCTTTATAATTCTTCATTCGTTGCCGCATAGTCTCAGCTGCTGAAAACGACGTTACATAAATCAGTCTTCCCATTTCACCCGACTCTGTAACCTCTGCAGTCGAGACGCCGAGCCAGAGAACACTCGAGATGCAAGGACGCTGTAATTCAGCGTCGTGACGACTGATGTCACTGGTGTTATCTGGCGACTGTACTGTGTCTGAAGCATCTTTATGGTTGCGTCACCACCCGACAGTGACGTACATCGTGTCCCCGTCGTCAGAAAATTAGTAGATTCTGTGTTCAGCGTATGAAAGGAGCCGGAGTCTCGCTCAACACGCGGGACCTCCCTGAACTAAGGTGGCCTACTCAAGGTGTGACGTACCCTCAGAGAGACAACAGTGTCGTGGAACTAGCTCCATGGATCAAAGTCCGTCTGAAGACGCCAATATTGGGCTCGGCTTGTGTGAAACCTGATGATTCATTACCATGGTTACAAGAGTCCACATCTAGACCCTATCCTGAGCCAGGTGAATCCAATCCTCACATCCTATTTTTTTAAGACCCATCTTCGTACTCCCTACATCCAGACGTACCAATCGATCAATTCTCTCACTTCTTTCTTGCTTGCTATATGCCCCCCACCAATTATATACTTCTTGATTTGATCACCCTAATAAAATTTTGTGAGGGTACAAATTATGAAGCTCCTCATTATGTCATTTTCTCGATCTTCCCTTTACATCCTCCGTCTTACGTCATTAATACTCTGTTGAATACCCTGTTCTTTAATCCAGTCCGCTAGACCATAATTCCTCGTGTGCTGTGACTTCTGTTGTTGTTGTTATTATTATTATTATTATTATTGCTTCGCTCTCTCACAATTGTAACGACATGTGACCGTTCACGTTGCGGTCTTCTACGTTATGACGCCGTGTAGTCTACTAATAATGTTACGGAACAACCTGCATGTGGGGGGAGCCGCAGCCCTGGAGTTCACGAGCTTAGCCTCCAGCGCTGTGGCACCAAGACTCGCCTTGCGACATGTGCCGTTCTCCCGCTGTAAGGCCAATTGACCCTGCGCTATTGAACCTTGACATGTGCCTAGTGCATTACACCGGACTTTTTAGTCAATCATAATTCAACATTTGATTAACCAACCGATTCCAATTGGATTCTGTTTGATTTGTTCATTGACCCTCCGTGCAGATCACGCCGTCATGCGACGCTGCTGTGTTGTTTTGCAGCGACCGGCCTGCCACCTAACTGCAGAAGTTGTCTGCTGTTGTTGAAGTGTACACAGCATCACTCGATTGGAACCTATTCAGAGTCATTTGAATGCAATCCAGAACTTAATATCTTACAATCATTTTTAATATAAGCGGCCTTCGTAGTCTAGGGGAGGGACTCTAAGCCGTGGGTCCCGTGTCGTAGATTTACGGCATGTAAAAGAGCCTCATGTCTCTAGGAGACCTCTGAGCAAAATTATTAGGTAAAAAGTTTCCCGCCCAAGGTAGTTTCCAATGCCTCTGGTAGATGGGGGAAGTATCAAGGTACCGAGGGCCGACCTCGTTGGCTCAACGGGGCTAATAGCACGCACCGTCTACCGGTAGGGTATGGGGACAGTAGAAATTAAAGGAGGATGCACAATGGACCAATAACTGTCTAAGTGCATGGGGAAACCCACCCCCTCCAATAATAATAATAATAATAATCCTTTTTAATATTATTCTTCATAGATTCCTAGCTCTCACAACCGATCTCTTCTCTTTTAAGTTTAACGACCACTATGATCAGAATCCCAACTGTAGGCTACTGGATGAGAGGCGTAAGCGGCGTGGGTTTATGTTGTCTCCTGTCTCTGAGGGCCAGGCATCTTCCTGATACGAAGATGCCTTGGTATTCCCACGGATTTAATTTAATTCCCACTTTTTGTTTCCTATTTCTGTAATTTTCTACTTTTCCCCCACCTTCCTTTCATATTTTGAAAGTACAGCGGTAACCATACGTGCCACCTGCTTTAACATTCGAACCCTTCATTTTGTCCACTCGGTGTGTTTATGTCTCGTATAATTGTCACGGTAAATAGCGATTATTTCCTTGAATAACATGAAGTGGGTTGTCTTTGTAATGCAGATGCGATGTGTCTGCTGAGATGTAGGGACTGAACTTTTTAATATTATATGGAAGAAATCGTAGGACCGGGAAATGTCTTCCACTTTTTGCATTCTTCTACTTACCTCTCTGCAAAGCTGGGGAACAGACTGTACGGGGGTAGATTGGCCGAGGGGCGCAGACCACTAGAGGGCTCCGTCACGACGCTTGTCGGCGTCGAAGAAGTGGACGACGTGACTGGGGTGGCGCCTGCCACCAAGGGGCGAGACGGGGACCCTGGCGCCGATACGCTGTGGACAGGCTTCATATTAACACCAGGAACACAAAAGCCCTTCAAGCGTCTATTCGACTGTCCCACTTGTATTCACATCCGTCCATCTATCTCCTCGGTCTCTGTGGAGGTCCACCCGCACGAGTTCACTCTATGCTAAGCCAAGCAGAAGATATAAAATGCACAGTTACCGATGTACCCACCAGTATCCTCTAGGCGCCAACACACTCCACATCCTCAGCGCAGTTGGGTTCCTAGCGGCCGGAGAGGCCCGAGAGAGCCCATTGGAACAAGGGAACACAACATTGTGTTCACGTACGTCTACCGCAGATCCCGGGCCAGTGATCTGGAACGCGTTCGTAACAGAAAGTTCAGATATCCGCGTGTTAGCTTCGTCACGTCTGTCTGCGTGTCCGAGCATCACAACAGATTTTCGTTAAAATTCACTTTCTTGTGCTTTGCATCCTGTTGTGAATATACAGGGTGATTCACGAAGTCTTACCCCGGCTTATGGTACATATTCCTGGGGTTATTTCCTGCAAAATTTCCTTATAAACTTTTGGTCGATTTTCAATAGTTACGGAGTAACAATAGATTTTCGAAATGCATCATTGTGAATGCAGCGCTATGCTTCAGCGTGGGCGACCATACGTTCCAGTCAGCTACGTCAGCAGATAAGGTAGACCGGTTTGAATGTTGCGCGTAGGTAGATAGGCAGAGCGGTTCATACGCGTGCGACGCGTTTTGTTGACGTGCAGGGAGGCATTTTTTAAAATCTTATGTAAATCCAGTCGTCTTCTAAAGCACTACAGTTTAAACGAAACAGATTGATAGAAGGGTGTGATATGCAACCATTGGTATGTTTACAGAATGGGATGCTGAAAATAATATAATTTTGTAACAAAAAATCGATGAAAAATGTTGCACAATGCAAAATTAAGAAATTGAAAAGAAAAATTTGGTTTTAGAATGCTTCTTTCGTTAAACATTAACGATTTAAAAAGTGTCTGTATTGTATTTCTAATTTATTTTGATTGAAATTCGAAGAAAAAAAGATTTTTCGCCAGTTTTAAAATTACTGTATCTCTTTAATTATGAGTTGGATACCATTAGTATATTAACATTTTTTGTTCCAAATTACCTCAGGAATGCCCTCCCTAAGTGGGGGTAAAACTTCGTGAATCACTCTGTATAGTGAAGGATCTTGTACCGTTGCGCAGCACGTGACTACACTGAAAGTACCAGTGAGACGATCTGTTTATTATATCAAATTCAAACCACTGCATATGTATACATGTAAAGTCACAAATGTGTATTATGCTTTTGTTCAATATGACGTTTAAAATGGGTCCATTTTTGGTCAGTATATTTAAAGTTTTCTAAAAATTTTCATAATTTTTATTGAAAATGTGAAATATGCAGTTTGTAAAGTTGTAAAAATGCATAGAACGTATATGTGTGCGTGGGGGTACTCGTTAACGCAGTTGGTTGAGGTACTATGCTACAAACTGGAAGGTCGCGGGTTCGAGTCCCGATGAGGTAATTGGACTTTTCAATTGACCTAATCTTTCCAGCCGCCATATGCACTTGGGGTTCACTCAGCATCTAACAGAAACAGAGTACTAGGAATCTTCCTGCGGGTAAAGGGAGGCTGCAGTGTAATGCTGACAATCTTATCGCCATCTGTGAGCCGATTGTGCAGAGAAAATGTGGGAGCCTCGACGTCTCACAACCCTATGGGCCTTCACGGCCTGTTATAGGGATAGTTTTACTTAACCTCACCGCCATCTGTGAGCCGATTGTGTAGAGAAAATGTGAAAGGCTCGACGTCTCACAAACCTATGGGCCTTCACGGCCTGTTACGAGGATAGCTTTACCTTTTACCTTTATGTACGTGTGCATAGCGTAGTTGGTGTTACCACTGGCATGTTCAGAAGATCACCACTACGCACAGCTGCGTTACGCACACGTATATAGGAATAATATCAAAAATTTACGAAAAAAGACCAATACATCCTCAAAATACCATTCAGTTTATTCACGACTTATGTGTGCCTGTGTGTGTGTGTGTATATATATATATATGTGTGTGTATATATATATATATATATTCTATGTATTTTTAAAATTTCCAAACTGTAGATTTCCCATTTTACAACACCAATTAGGAAACTTTAACTATATTGACCAAAAATGGACCCATTTTGTGATTGATTTTAAAAGGGTACACCTGAAGATTGTCAGCCAGACCGAAACATACGGTGAATCTGGTGTCTTGGTACGGTCAGTGCAGTCACTTGTTATATAACGGCCAAAACATCGCGTGCCACGCAACGATACAGAAAGCTTCTTGACTTGGTTAGGCTTCTCAGAGCGCAGGTTCGCCTCGATCTGTTGACTCCAGTTCTGGTCAGAGTCAGACGCCTTGCATGGAGACCTACACGTGTTGCTGCTTGCGTCTCGACTGACGTCGCTAAATGTTTATCGGATCTAAAAATATTTCGAACAGGAGTTGTATAGAAGAACGGACCGAATCTTTTCGTAAACGTTACCGTCTTCGAAGTCACTATACGCGCCAGAACAGACAGCTGCTGTTACTTCTCTGGCTTGTGCGTCCGTCGCGGATTGCTGGTCGTGACAGTCCCGCCGAATTACATGTACGCTCATCGGAAGAAGCAACACTTGTGCTCAGTTTGAGGTTATCACGGCGGTAACTTTGAAGTGCAAGGCCTTCTGTGTTGTAATTCCGTGCAGTACGGAGAGAGCCTAACGTTTCGGAGGGACATGTCGCTTCCATCTCAGCTTGTCGCCTGCCTGTGCCGGTTATTTCATGATTTAGTCATCGATCCTGAAGACGGAGGCGATATGTTCCTCCTAAACGTCGGACCTTAAAATCCAGATGACCGTGCTGGTCAAGAATTATTCTGAATATGCAACCTCTTTATGACGTCACAATGTTCGCGACACGGTACATCTACATGCTTTAGCAACATTGAAAATTCGAATCAGTTTGACATACGCAGTTCTGGTGTCGGTGTATGGAGCATTTTTTTCGAATGAGAATTTGCAGGGGAAACCAAACTACTCGGAGGATGCCTGCCCCTGTGCCATATTGTCCACCACAAATCCCACATGACCTGACCTAGGCTCGAACCCGGGTCGCCGTGGTGGGAAGCCGGCGACTAACCGCCTGAGCTATGGCACGGCCTGGTAGATAGGCTACCTGCGTGAATTCTTACCTCGGACTGTAGCTAGGCGCTGGGTCCTCGGCGTCTCGGCCGTCACCCGCTCGCTCGCCGGTATCAGACTCCAACTCGGGCTCGGTATCCGCGCAGCTGACGGGCGTGTCGGCGTGCTCGCGCGCCGGGAGCAGCGTGCCTCCCGCCGGCTCTGCCTCGGGGCTACTGCGGGCCACATCATCAACCTGCACCACGGTTACACACATCTCAAGAAATGTAGGATCCTGGGCCATGCTTCCGTGTATCGAGCCTGTTGGGATACTGAACACTCTCCTTGAGCAGAGTATTTATTGAGAAGCTAATTGTCGCTCATCTATTGAGTATGGAACCCGGAGGTACATTACCGTGTCCATAGCGTTAGAATGCAGTCCGCACTCTTTACCGTATTTCCTTAAGATTTATTTTAATATTACCATTCTCACAACCGGTACAGTATATACATCCTTTAACGCGTCTCGAAGAGTGACAGGTGCCATTACCTAAGACTGTGCGTTTAACTGTCACTTGAGAAATCTATGTGTTCTTAGGAAGATAATATTAAAATTAATCTTAGTAGAATAGGGTTTCCGGGTGAGAAGTAGACTTGAACTAGGTCAGGACAGGAACCAATGGCGGGCTCTTGTTTGATGACATCAAACTTACGGGTTACGTAAAAGGCGTGTAATTTCTTGGCCATGTGAGCAATTATCAGCTTTTCAAGAAGGTCCATGCGCCATGCAGTTAAACAGTTGTCCACTCTCTTATTTGAAACACAATCAGTTGATAAAATAAATCTCAACGTATTTTATATTTGTCTGGTTGGCCGACCAGAATTCTCCTTTGTGGGTTTTCATGAGGTTAGTGTTGTCTCAAAGGGCGGAACTTGGGCAAAGCAACAGAGAGAAACCCGAATTTAAACTTCATTGTTTACATTGCAGCCAAGCCGGCTAGTTCGCTGAGCACGTGACTTTCAGACGGTCTCCTCAGCGCGTACCGTCGGTGCTGTTTTGTTATTACAAGTGGAGCCCCCCCCCCCC